AACTAATCATTTAAATTCCCGTTAAATGTTGGCCCTCGGGGTGTGAACAGTAACCGGTGAACAGTGACCCCGACGTGAACAGTAACTCTACTTCCACAAATTGGCCAAAACACTAACTAATCTCACGGGATTTTCACTCCAAAAATCACAGCAATCAATTAACACTCAATCACATAAATTCACTTGAAACAAGCTAAATCATGGTCTAATTACTATCAATTTTCTCCCCTAATTAATCCAGAATTTCGGACACAAAGGGCAGCAATTAAATGGCTAAACTTGCACTTAGAGAAGTTGCCACATATCATAATTCTCCAGCTGTAGAAACCGGAGCTACAGGGGGAAAGAGGCCGGCGGCAAGCTGCAGGGAAAGCTCACGGGTTCACCCAAAATCTGGAGAAACACTAGATTTAACATGAACCCAAGCTAATTCAAGGAAAAACAGAGAATTTAATGGCTATTTCTTACCGAAACAGCCCAGAATTCACCCAAAATCAAGGGCAACCAGCGGTGAGGAAGACAGAGCAGAGCAGATCTAGATTTCCAGCAAGGGGGAAAGATTTCTGGGTTCCAAATCAGGTTATTGGACAAGAAAGAAGGAGAAAACCAAGCTTATCTCACCGGTTTCTCAAAGGCATGGCTGGGTTCCCCTTTTTTTTTTCTTTCGAGTGGCTGCAGCGGGAAGAAAGGAGAAGAAAAGCAGAATCGGGCAAGGCTGGGAAGAAAAGAAAGAAAGAAAAAGAAAAGGAAAAGAAGTCATCCTTATCCAAAATCTTTCCCTTTTTAAGTCCCTCAACTTTTGAAATATTCACATTAGGCCCCAAAACAATCTTTTCTCACAATCAAGTCCCTAACTTACTTATTTATCCTAGAAAATTTTGGGGTATTACATCCACCCCTCCTAAAAAGGAGTTTTGTCCCCAAAACTCAAATTGGGGATCATTTCAAGTGGTGAATGGCTTCACCTAATCCAAGGCAAAACAAATGCCTCCCAACTCTTTATGAACAGAACACGACCTACTATGCTTCCGCTACGCCACTCTGATATCAAATCACAACAAATCATAAAAGCAGAACACTAACTACTTAACAAGATTTACCATGAAACAAGCTACTGGAGGCTGGGGTGATATGAGAAGCACAAGGAATAAAAATAAATCTTGCCAAAGCCACAAAAGAACAATTGTGGGGTTACGCTTCGAACCCATCACAAGACGAGTTGACAAAGAATGGCATGGATTTAAAGACAAGTACAACAAAATTTTGAACTCTTATCAAAGACGGATGTACGAATCATGAATGAATGAACAAGTACATGGATGCCTTATAAATTATGCCACAAAACAAAGTTAACCAATAAACAAGGTCATGTTTAACAAAGCAATTGGAATCAAGAAACAGATTTTAGCAATTAACAAGAGTTAAAAACTAGGACCATTAAAAGACATAAGGATCTCAAGAATTGCAACAGAATAAAATCAATGGAAAATATGAATGCTTGGAAGAATATTGGAACACAAGAGTACAAGGTAGAATGCCTCAAAAATTAGCAACAAAACGGCATTCACCAAGAATCAAGGTCAAATTTAACCAAGCAGTCAAAATTGAGAAACAAGAGTTAACCATGAAACAAGCAATAGAGTTCAAGGATTAGGCCCACAAAAGAGATTTCAATAATGACAACCAGAACACGAATTCAAGAGCAGATATAACCAGGTTGTCAAGATTTAACACCCTAAGTAACACGAATTAATTAACAGAACAATCAATAGTGGGGATCAGGATACTTCAAAGACTACCCCTTTACCTCGTAGCCCATGGAAGCTAAGTAGATTTACAATCAAGTCATCCTAGACATCCTAGAGCCAAGTCAAAGCTAAGGCATCAAGGATACAGAGATTAACACTTGCAAGAGACAGGAATGAGAATGCCTCATATAGGTATTTTCTAATAGTCATCACCCCTCCTAAAGAGGTGTTCATATGAACAAAAATCAAGAATCCAGAAGATCAACAGGTATACCAAAACAAGAATTAGCAGAACATGCAGGATTTGAGCAAGGGCAACATACAGAATTTGAGCAAGAGCAAGAGTCGAGACAAGAATGGTTTTCAAGGACAATTCAAAATAGATTCCAAGAACAGTGCAAGAATTAATTTCAGACAAGAATCAAGATAATGAAGATTTCGATAATCATTATCCATTTTTGGATTTCAGTTCCAAGAACAAGTACAAAGCATTCTCAAGAGAGATTTAAGACGGATTTCAAGAGTTTTAAGCAATTTCAGGTATCAAGAATGTAGAGATTGGCAACAATAGAGAGTTTAACTTTATGACAACTTGCCAATCTTCACAAAACAAGGCAATTTCAATTGAATAATCACTGCTCTTGATTAACCAATATAGAAAAAAATGAGCCACATGAAAAGACCACGAAGCTCCAAGTGGAAAAAGTGAAACTTCACTATAACACTTTCAGAAGATAAGGAGCAACGAAATTACCAAATTATCTAGCTCCTAAAACGCATCAAGAAAACACACAACATTTGCTAAAATAGCCTTGAATCTCTTACAAGTAGAGGGTTGCCCATCTTCCACTGGTCATGTGACAAACAGAACAAATTCTCAACCAGCTATGTGGTAGAGACCAACAGGATCACTGACAAAAGATCTCTGCAACTCCCCAGATTTCAAAATTGTGGCAAAAGAGCACACAAAAATTCCATTCATGAAACAAGTCTAAACAAGTGTAGACTATCAGAAAATGACCAAGTTTCAAAACAAGGTCTTAAGAACATGGCGGACAAGATTAATCTCATGGATCTACACAAGGTATATAAAGGCAGGAAACAAGAACAATCAGATATCCATCTCATCAGAATGGATTAGAATATTCAGGCAACACGAATCAGAATCGTCCTTTATATAACCCCATCACTCGTCTCACCACGGTTCTAAAATCCACTGGCTAGCCAAGTCCAAAACAAATCCTAGGTATTCAATTAAACCTAGTTATTCAATTAAATCTAAACTCTAATACCACTCAATCTGCTCTAATGCCACTCAATCTGGAGGTGCTTAACTTAATCCCAAACTCTTAATTTCAACCTAAGCTCTGATACCACTAAATCTGTCACGCCCCAAAACCCAATTTCGAGACGCGACAGACGCCGTGGACTCGTGAGAAGGTCCCACAAATGCACAAGGCTCGAAACTTATCAAATTCACACTCTGATACCATCAAAATCTAAAGATCAATTTTATAAACTCTCTGATATCATAAGTCTCCAATAAAATCTCCAAATAC